TTTTAATTTAAAGAGAAGAAAACTACTGATGAAACTATATGTTTATGTTTTTAGAGATTTACATCTTAAGTAGGAACCAATGGGCTCAGAGCTGAGAGCCACAAACAGGAAGTCAGAAAATATTCAGACAGACAAACACATGGTTTTGGTCTTTTCATGGGATGTGTTGACAGTAAGAAACATTCATAACACCACTATGTCCGATAAAACCATTTTCACAAAATCAAATTAAAGAAAAAAAAAAGGTAGCTACTGTTACTGAATAAAAGATGAAGATTCACAGAGAAACTCTCAGGAAGGTGGACTCAACATTTCATCCTCTCAGCGTCGCTGATGATTTGAAACCCCGGCTGATCGGGAGCGTCACAGAAACAAAGTGAAACAGCAGTTTAAAAAGAGAAATGTAGGCACAGAGAAACAGGACGTGGGTGGATGAGTATCTCAGTGCTTCACTAACACTACACAGATCCACACTGGAGTTAGTCGTGTTTTGTATCTGTTGTTTTCTTGCTTTACATGAAAATGGAATGTCGTGTTGTGTGTTTCTACTCTAGTCTACTGTCTCTACTGTGTTGACTACTGAAACCATGCGTCAAGTTTTCTTCTTTGCTGCTTTTTGGCGGGTGATCACCGACTACATTCCCCCCTTTTTATTCATCGGAGAGTGGTTCTTTTGTGTTCATCGGACTTTTCTCTTCAAAGGCGTGTCTGACTGAGCGGCTATGTACGATATTTATCCTCTTCCCCCTTCAATTTGTCATCTTAAAAGTTCATCTAGATACCACACAATAAACAACGAGAGCTCTAATCTTTGTCTGCGCACCACATTCTACATTTTATCTTTCACTGGAGCCTTGAAGCTCGTTAAAACATCAGCTCCAGTTTGTGCCTCTGATGTTAGAGTCGTTTTTACATTTGAGATTTTGCATTGAACTCAGATTCCGACCCCAACTTGAGAGTAGGAATCTGAACAATGGATAAAGCCATGTTCAAAATTCTTGTTTAACTTTGTTGTCATACTAAAGTCAAAGTTTTTACAGAGGGATTTTTTAAAATATCTTTTTTTTTTTTATCATTCTATAAATCAGAAAATACTGCCAACAGTGAAAAACAAACAATTTTTGCCATGTTTTTGAATGATACATGAACAAACCCCTCTGTATAAAAACAATACTTTTTTTTTTTTTTTTTTTTAAACAATTGGACATTGTAACAGGCATTTTTCTCTTCTGACATTTTACACACAAAACTATTAACCATTAATCCAGTGAATAATCAGCAGATTAAAATGATGGTGAAAATATTGAACAATCTTCAATTCAGAAGTCTCAAATGTAAAAGCACTGATTGTGATCTGTGTGTAGAGCAGCAAATTAGGACTTATTTTTTCTCTTATCACACTGTTTGGTTTGTTTGGTCTATCACAATCACATCCCCTCTCTTTTTTGTCCTGATCTGAGACGTGATGTTTGTCAAATTCAAGCCTTCCTGTCTCTACATGCTGTCCCACATCTAACCAGCAGGTGTCCTCAGAGGAGAGCAGCTGACGTGACAGCTCACCACTACTGCATCTTATACGTGTCATATATATACATGTAACACTGAGCCTCTACAGGCAGCAGGACCTTCCCAATCACAGGGTGTTCAGTCACACTGCTGTAACACTGCCACAAGCATCAAGGTTGCTCTTTAGGAAATAATAATACTGCTTTAAGTTGTTGAAAAGTGTGTACTGTTTATCCAGAAATGCCTCGGACTGACCCTTTAACTTTGTAGAGTGTGGAATTTTTCAGCCCCACAACCACAGAGGAAGGAAATTATCTCCATAATAATCTGTATTCTTATGAGTAGCTGATTGTCTAACTGTGAGATGAAACCATTGGTTAATACTTAATGTTGAAATTAAAATTTATAGCATTGCAGTATTTTACTTTGAAAACCATTCATCTGAGTTTATACGGTTTAAATTCTCTAAAATGTTTCATTCATTCATTCATTTTCCATGCCACATATCTTATTGGGGGTCGTGGGGGCCTGGAGCCTATCCCAGCTGACACTGAGTGACAGGCAGGGTACACCCTGGACAGGTCACCAGACTAAAACAGGGCTGACATATAGAGACAGACAACCATTCACACCTGAAGCCAATTTTGAGTCACCAATTAACCTGCATGTCCTTGGACTGTGGGACAAACCGGAGCACCCAGAAAAAACCCACGCTGACACGGGAAGAGCATGCAAACTCTGCACAGAAGGGCTCTGAAATTTTCACATGGCAAATTTTAGTGCAGCAGTTGTTTGCAGACCAGTTGCCACAAGAAAATATTGGTATTGTACGATATTGCAAACCAAGAAATACGTTACATTTGCACGTTTCAAAAGTGAAGAAGTACACAAGCTGAATTTGCCAAGCTGCAGACCGCTGTGAGACCAACAAACTACAACAACAACTACAACAAACTACCTTACCACACGTTATCCACAGTGTTCTTGAAATGGGGCGGCAGTAGCTCAATCCATAGGGACTTGGGTTGGGAACTGGAGGGTCGCCAGTTCATTTCCTGGGCACTGTCGAGGTGCCATTGAGTAAGGCGCCAAGCCCCTAACTGCTCGGAGCACCCATGGGCAGCCCCCTCACCCTGACATGTATAGGTTTTGTTGGTGTTTGTGTATGTATTTTGGACCTGTGTGTATATGACAACAAAAAAAAATAATTTCCCCCTGGGGTTTAATAAAGATATTCTTCTTCTTAAAGCTCAAAGGTATCTGCCTACATAATAGCGTGCAAATGTAACGTATCCGTGGTTTGCAGAAACATACAAAGCCATAATTATTTTCGGATGATTTTAAGGTTTAAAAAATTGTTGAGTATTAAAAAAAACTAACCTAAAAATTCAACCTAATTTACTAAGGTTCAATTACAGTCAAAATCACGTTGCTTGAATTGGAGATTGGGGAAATCAGGACATCAAGGTTCAACATGAAAAAAATGCGTGAAAAATTGCTGTTAGTTTGATTTGATCTGAAATAAATTCTATTTTCAAAATCAAACAGATGGTTTTCAAAGTAAAACATCATTTATATTTCAACATTACATGTTTAGAGGTTAAATGTTACAATTCAGCTGCTTGTAAAAATTGTAATTACTACAGCATTTAATTTCTTCCATACACAGCTAAATCCCAAACTTTAATTACTTTATGAACTAACTAAAAATAAAATCTTTAAATGTATTATAAATCATGACTACAGAAAAATAAAAAATAGTTACTTTTTTCTTAACATTTTTCTCTTCAGAATGCCAGAGAGGCTTTGAAATACTATGAGATTAGAGGATTATGGTGGTTTGTTTGTTACCGAGTCTCATTTACTTCAAAAAAATGAAAAAATCTGCCGGTGTGGTTTCAGCAAACGTCCTGATGCCTTATTCTGCCTTCTTTTCAAATGGAGACACTCATCTGTCGAAAACTTCTGAAACATGTTTCTGAGCTTCAAAGTTCATTTGTGACGTTGGAATTGGCAGCTGACAAAACAACCTCATACGATGTGACTAAACACAGTCACTGGATGGACCTTGTGGTGGGACTGTTTTGTCAGTTGCTGTTTCCAAAGTCATAATGAACCTCGGCCAACGTCAGATGGACGAGAAGTCCCATAAGTGTTAAGAGAACAAAATAAATTTTAACATCTACAGTTTGATGTTAACTTGGCAAACTCCACCTACTGATGAAGATAGTCTGATGTGATAGAAAGCTCCAATGCAGCTACGACATGAAGTTTGAGGTGAGATCATTATATTAAAAGTTAACTGACATTTTAAAGGTTGCAATCAATTTTCTAGCCTGACATTTTTTTCTTGTGTGCACAAGTTAATATCTTGTGGGAACTTGAACTTTCATTCTCTGCCTGAGCGCAATATGGCCTGAACCTCCACCTGGGACCCAACCCGGTGGGCTGGGCTATAATTTTACATCAGTTCAGGTTCTCGACACTTTACTGGTGTTTTTTGGTTGTTGCTTGTTAGTTCAGGCAGGACACAACGTCAAGCTCAGCTCACATCCCAGCTACATTAGCTGATCTCAAATAGCCAATCAACTGATGGAGCAGCTGATAGATGGAAGGGAGTCAGATGATAGATCACATGATTCATTTCTATGTAACCAATTGGTGAATCTCATTCAGGGCGCCCTATTTAAACTGCTCTGGCCTGCCTACTGGTGCTGCTTCCTCTGCAAGCTGCTTTGCAACCTGCCTCCACCCCAGCTCCTCCTTTTCATGCTGTGTCTGACTTATCAATGTCATTTCTGTTTGTCATTGACGCTATTCTGTTCTGTTCCTGGGGGGTCTTTGCTACTGCTCTCCCTGCCTTAAGCTTTCCATGTAGGCACATGGAAGGGCAGAGAGGTGTGCTCTCTCTGCCCCAGGCTTTCCTCATTTGCACGTGGAAGGGCAGAAAGGTGTGCTCTTTCAGCCTTATGCTTTCTACGTAGGCACGTGGAAGAGGCCGCTTTACAACCTGCCTCCACCCCAGCTCCTCCTTTTCATGTTGTGTCTGACTTATTAGTGTCATTTCTGTTTGTCTTTGCTGCTGCTCTCCCTGCCTTGGGCTTTCCTCATAGGCACATGGAAGGGCAGAGAGGTTTGCTCTATCTACCTTAGGCTTTCTGTGTAGGCCTCGGAAAGACAAAGGGGCCCCAGAACAATACCGCCAAATATAATACTGCACATTAACTACTGGCCCATAACTGTTAAACAACCTGTCCGGTGACTGATTTAGTGCTAAAACAATTATCAACAATACAGAAATTTAATCAACAGTTCTGATTAATCCATGTGAGTCATTTATCTCAACATTTAAAGGTTGCCGCTACTCAAATGAGAGAGTGTTTGATGCTTTTCTGTGGATTTTGGGGGTTTTGGGTTGAGACATTTGAAGATGTCACATTGGGCTCTGAGAAACTGTGATGGGCATTTTTCCACTACTTTTAAGAATTGATTAATTTTAAAGAATAATCAGTAGATTTATAGGCACAGAAAACAATCATCAGCTGCAGCTCAACAGTGAACAGCAGCTTCTTCTGTATTTTTCCAGTGATTTTGCTAAACTCTTAAACTTTCCACGCCCTGGAAACCTTACTTTCCACACTTTAACCTGCATGTATGCAAACTGTTGTCTGATATGTGGCAAAGAAAACTGCCAATCATTTTCAGTCATCATTACCCATAAATCATTGGGACTACAGTTTAACAATTAACCAACAGGACGCAGAGCAAGAAACTAACTTTCCACTCAGGGTAACATCCCAGAATTCACCAGCAGCTTTCATTTCCGGAGCTGACGAGGAATAGATGACTACACTATGAGCTCTACGTGGTGGTCGACTACTTGTCTGCCTACGTGTTCGGTACAAATGTTGATGTTACTGTGGGTAAATGATTGGCTGCATCTCATTGATAGAAATACAGTACGTCAAGAGTGCCAGAGCGCTTTCCCGGTCCAATCTCATAAAAACTCCAAGCATTGTTTTTTCTTTTCCGTATTCTTCCAGACGTGTGGAGGATCCCTGGTGACTCGTCCAGCCAGGAATGTGGTCAGGAGGAAAATGCTGATCCTATTCTTTTTAGGTTAAACCACTTATCACGGTGCCAAGTCAGGAGGGAAAACAGCTCGGATGTATGGATGCATTGTATGGAGCTGGCACAAGCTAAACAATCCGACTTCCAGCGGTAATACTACGTGTCATTGTGTCAGGGGAGCAACAAAAGGCCTTGCATCGGACAGGAATGCATTCTGTGCGCGCCAAGCTGCTTAGCCCAGTGACCTGTCCAGTTGTCCAGTTGGGTTCTTTTCAAGTGTTTTTAACCCTAAAAAACAAAATGACCAAAAAGAACAAAAAAATGGACACTAAACATTGTTTTTCACATAGCACCATGCCATCGGTTTCCAGTTCTTAACACTTAATTGCAGTGTATCACATTTCTGTAGGTTTTTTTTTCTTGTTCCGTGAGAGCGCTGATATGCAAAAACAAAAATCCACACACGACGGTGAAGGAAATAAAAACACAAATGCAGATAAGAAGAAGCACGCAGACGTGAGGCGAGGGGGAAGCAGGAGGATTGGCGAAGCTGAGGTATCTGTTCAGGTGACTCTTATTCCTACAGGGTGACCACAGTCTGTCTGAGGGATGTCCACCGTGTCAGTGTGTCTGCACGTATACTGTACATGTGACGACAGTGGTGACAGAAGGCACATATTGCCGAGGTGAGGGGGGGGGTGTTGGGGTTAGGTTGAGTGATGAACTCTCCTCCCTCCAAAGTGGGGGAGCTAAGCTTTTGTCCACCTGCACCGGCCGATGGATCGCAAAGAAAACACCCGGCTGCTTTCAACGTTTTCACCGACCAAGCAGATTTTTTGTGTCAGAGGGACTCCGGGCTGGTTGGTCCCCAAATTAGTCCAACTCTCCATCATTCGACCACAGGTCTGGAGCTGCTGAATGAATCAGGTCCTCCAGCTGATGGTTGGTGGTGCAGACAAAACGTAAAAGCCACTTTGAGTTTTTACCAGCCGGAGTTATGAGATGAGAGCAGGACCTGATGATTGGTGCCTTTGACAGCGGCTAAAATCCACTCAGCTGGATTTTAGAATAAAACGTCAGAGTGGGTGGGACCTGCCTTGTCACCCTCGCCCTTCCCGAAACTCAGACTCGGACTGAAACATGTTCCAGCGAATGGGCCTGGGCGGGGGCGGGGGGCACTGCAGGTGATGGCGTGGCTGCAGGGGGAGGAGTTATTGCTTTAAGCTCATTACCGGGGCAACTCTGGGTGCTGACGCCGCGGTTGAGGGGGCCGGCACGTGGTGGTGCATTAGCTGGCAGACCGTTGGGGTCGGTTCGAGGGATGTTGACGGGGCAGGAGCGGGTGCGGGCGTGGCCCTTGTGGCCGCCCGGGTGGCAGACAAGGCTGCCCACGGTGTCGACGGGTGACAGGTGGCGCTTGAGCCAGCGCTCCACTCGCTCCTCCTTGTACTTGATGGAGTACCAGGTGAGGAAGATGAAGAGGAAGCCGAAGAACTTGAGGCTGGCGGCCAGGCCGAAGTAGACGAAGCGCAGGGAGGTGACGTCATACTCCCAGCAGGAGCCGTGGATGCCGCAGTCCTGCTGCCACAACATGCAGGTGGTGTCGATGACGGCGCCGAAGTAAATGGGCGTCGGGATGTAGGCTGAGTGGAGAGGAGAGGGGAAAGACAGGAGAGGAAAGGAAGGAAGATCAGAGAAGGAAAGAGCGAGGAGAGAGGAAAAAGAAACAAGAGAAGGAAAAGAGTAGGTAAAGAAGAGAGGGAAAATACAGGGGAGGAATAGAAGAGATGAGAGGAGGAGAGGAGACACGACAGGAAGAGGAGAGAAAAGAGTGAGGAGGGAAAAGAAGAAGAGAGGGAAAGGACAGGAGGAAAGGAAGGGAGATGAGAGGAGAGAAGACATGATGACAGAGGATGGGGAGAGAAAGGAGTGAGGAGGGAGGAAAAGGAAACAAGAGAAGGTAAAGTAGGCAAGGAAAATTAGAGACAAAGAAGAGAGGGAAAAGACAGGAGGAAAGGAAGAGAGATGAGAGGAGGCGAGGAGAAATGACAGGAAGAGGAGGGAGGGAAAAGACAGAAGAAAAGGTAAAGCAGGAAAGGAAAAGAGTGGGTAAAGAAGAGAGTAAAAAGACAGAGATGGAAAGGAAAGGACGTGAGATGAGAGAAGACATGACGGGAAGAGGAGAGACAAAAGTGAGGAGGGAGGAAAAGGAAACAAGAGAGGGCAAAGTAGGAAAGGAAAAGAGGAGGCAAAAAGGAGAGGGAAAAGATGAGAGAAAAGGAAGGAAGATGAGGAGGAGAGACGATATGACAGGGGAAGAGGAGAGAAAAGTGTGAGGAGGGAGGAAAAGAAAACAAGAGAAGGTAAAGTAGGAAAGGAAAAGAGGAGGCAAAGAAGAGAGTGAAAGGAAAAGAGATGTGAAGAAGAGGAAAATGGTAAAAATACAGGAAGGTGGTGGAGGAGAAAAAACGACAAGAGAAAAGCCATGAGCACAGAAATAACCACAGATCCTAAATCTAAACTGTAAATCTACTTCCTGTTTAATTCACTTCAGTTAAGTTATTTAACTTGTGAGAAACACATATAAAAAATAATGTCAGAGTGACAGTAGCAGATGAGGTATCACATCCTGGCTATCACATCCTGGCTCCAAACACACTGGATCCTACAATTCCCATGATGCAAAGCATCTTGTATTTCCCCTCCCTGCCTGGTTAATGCACCCGTCTTTTAAACTCCACATCCCCAGTTTGTATTTCTTTTCTGACTGATTCATACCGACAGCCGCTTTCTGAAGGTCCCTGTGTATCAAATCCAATTTAGCTCTTTACTCCTTATTCAGAGGAACAGTGATGTTGAGGCATTAAAGAGACAACATCTCATTTCCTGGCGCTTAATCAGCTCCACGGTCAGCAGTTACAGAACGTGCAGTGCATTTACAATCAATGCGTTTAGCTGACGCTCCTCTCTTCCTCCTACAAGAGTCCTCAGATAACACTGCTGATACTCAACCCTTTCATTTGGAGTCTTTTCATGTCAAAAACAAACCTGGTAAAAAATACTAGAAATCTTCTGTCACTGTGTGAAGACAAAAGGAAGTAGAAGTTTTATTTCATCGTGTGGTTTTACTCACCGAGAGTCCTGAGGAGAACAAACTGCATTCCCAGAGCGAACGGCCTCTCCTGCTCTGCTACAGACCTGCAGAACCGCACAGAGATGTCATCACTGAGGGACATCACGGTAAAAGAGGATGATGTAAACCAAACAGGAAGTGGAATGTAAGGCCCCGATCAGGCAGAGTGCTTTTTACAGCTTGCTGCGTCTTTTCTTTTTTAAATTGTTGCTAAGTCACCACCAAATCACTTGTACTTAACAGAGACCACTGATAAACCAAGACGGCTCACTTTAGATTCATTTCCTGTATCTGTGTCACATGGGTTTTGCCATTGCCCCTCCCCTTTAAGAGACTAGCCGCGACCCTGAGTCTAGGGCTGAAACGATTCCTCGAGTAATAGGGAATTTATACTTCTGTGTTGAATCGACGTAGAGCCTATGACGTGCACCTCCCCAGAATTGTAACTACACGTTGTGGTGACGCAGACGTCCTGACTGTTTCTGGAAGCTGACACCATTTCCCTCAGTGGAAACGAAGCTTTTATTCACTTTCATTTCACAGATAAGAAACAATACATTTTGAAGACAATAAAGCCTCCACTAAAATAGCATTTTAAGTCTTGTGTAATTTATCCTTCAGGGATTTATACTTCGGGATTTATCCTGGCTTCATATGAGCAGAGGAAATTTCCTCCTCTTATGCAATGTGAAATGCCATAGGCTGGCGCTAATAATGTTAGCATTAAACTATCAATATTGTATACAGAATCTGAAGCTCACTCTGAGATACTGTTGTTTACAAACTAAAGAAATGAGAAATCATTTTTGTCATTTCTCATATCTTCAAGAATATCGTCAAAAATACCCTGAAATATTGTGATATTACTTTAGGGTCATATCGTCCACCCCTAGCGCTGGTCATGGGGTACATTATTGGATAAAGTTTGAGATCCACTGTTTTAGAAGGTCGTACCTGAGTGTGACGATGATGGCGGAGGGCTGGGCGCAGGCAGTGATGAGCGTGACGATGAAGAGGAAGATGAGGAAGGGGATGAGGGTGCTGCAGGTGCGGTCGCACTTCCCCGATACAGCGTAGCCATTCTCATTCAGGTAGGTCTTGACAATGACGAGCTGCAGCTGGTTGCTGCCCTGACCGCTGGACGACGGCGTGATGACCTGCCTGCTCTGGACGCAGGCGCAATCCGAGTAGTTACGGATCTGGAGAGTAGTTATTGATAAGTATGTAACACTTCAAGCCTCACATGAAATCACAATTTATTTTTAACAATCTCTAGTTCCACTGACATCTAAAACAATCAAAAAAATTTTTTTTTTAGCTTTTTAAAGTTTTTTAACGAGTCCAGGTCATCCACTATCCCTGATGCTCACCCCGGTGCTGTCGTTGGCCACACTGCTGCAGCCGGCTAGGCAGGGGTTAAAGTAGGTGATGCCATCTGAGCCTCAGACTGGAGCGTACTCGTGGATTTTACAGCCGCAGTTCACATTACAACCCCCTGTCAGGTTCCTCTGGGTCATGGTGAGAGTTGGTCTGGAGAGAGAAAACACACAGTGGATATTTAGGTTTGTTTTTTATAACTCAATTCATTTATATGCCTTTTATTTTAACTGTATATTTTAGATCACTGATAGCCACATTTAAAGAATTAATTAGGGTAATTTTCTGCATGATAATTGTGAAGTGACACAAAACTGGACATAAAATTCTCCTGGTTGTTAAAAAGATAAAAAGCTGTGATGAAAAATTTTGGTATTTGAAACCAGTGGCCATAAAAGACTGAAGGAAAGAAGTCAACTTCGACTCCTTAGGTGCATTTATTTAAAGAACTACAATTACTGCCTCAGAGCTGTAAGCCTCCGCCAGTCAGTTATGATTAAGTTTACATCCATGTCTGTCCAAACTCAGTCAGTCAACACTTTAGTCAATTATATTTGGCAGTATGGCTCTGTTCCGGGGCCTCTGCCTTTCCTCGGGCCTATGTGGAAAGCGTAAGGCGAAGAGAGCACACCTTTCCGCCCTTCAACGTGCCTGCGTCAAAAGCCATAAGGCAGTGAGAGCACACCTCTCTGCCCTTCCACGTGCAAACAAGCAAAGCCTGAGGCAGAGATGCAAACCTCCCTGCCCTTCCATGTACCTACATGGAAAGCCTAAAGCAGGGAGAGCAGCAGCAAAGACCCCCCAGGAACAGAACAGAGCAGCATCAATGACAAACACAAATGACACTGATAAGTCAGACACAACATGAAAAGGAGGAGCTGGGGTGGAGACGAGTTGCAAAGCAGCTTGCAGAGAAAGCAACAACAGTAGGCAGGCCAGAGCAGTTGAGATCTGCCAATGTAGCTAGGATGTGAGCTGAGCTTGTAACGCTATGCTCAATATGTGGTGAAGACTTTTAAGTTATTTAATAAAAGATATTGTTGTTGGTTTTTTTTTTTTGGCGAAACATGGATGTTACACACACATCCTCCCCTTATTACCTGTCAATAATAATGTCTTGCATGCTATAATAATGCTAACATATGAAATGTTGTGTTACCATTAGTGAAAAATTTGGGGACAATTTTTTTCTAAATGCTGTCATGTACTGACATGTAGGAAAGTGGACATTTTGAAACTAGTTAGAGCCTGATGAAAAGTCAGGCTACATCACCTGTAGATCACAAAATCTGCACCACATTTCATGTCAATCTTAGAAATACTTTGAATTCACAAACACACCTAATGAGCGACCAACACTGCATGGCTGGGGAAAAAAACACACGAAAAGAAACAAAAGAAGGAAAAGAATTGTGAGGAAAAAAAGACAGATGGACAGCAGAAGAGGAAATGAGTGAAGATAAGGCAGAATAAAGAAGAAAGAGAAAGTAAAGTGATGGAGGAAGACAGGAAGGAAAAGGACGATGATGAGGAGAAGGGAGCTACAAGGATAAGAGATTAGAGGGTAACAGAAAAAGGAGGGGAAAAGAGTGTTCACGAGAGATGACGAGAAAAGGACTATGGAAAAAAAAGACTAGAAGAAGTAGGAGGAACGATGGATGAGGACGATAGAAGGGATAAAAAACAAGAGACAAAGATGTTGAAAGAAATGAAAGAACAGAGGGATGAAGAAAAGAGCATTAAAAACAGCCAAAGATGAGGAGAGAGGGCAAGAAGGACAGACACACAGACTGAAAGCGGGAAATAAAAAAGAAACACAAGAGAGAAAAAAACAAGGCAGTCAGCCAGAGATCGTCTCTTCCAAGCTGTCCTTGGACATTTTCCATCGTTGCCATGTAATCGCTCCCAGGGACACTCCGTCCAAAAGAAAACGCCTCCATTTACTGGCTCCCTATCTGTTATCCTGCACCAATCTGAACACTCGCTTCCTCCCCGACGTCGGCCACAGATGGGGCGATAAAAACTACCACTGACTCCGTCACACTGGGAAATGATTTCATACGAGAAAGGCCAAACTGCAGTCAGCAAACGGCTGTCTCTGATGTAAGTGAAAGCTTTCAAGGACCCCGATTACTCCCGCCATTGAAATGAGACCTGAGAGGAGTGACTGCAAGGGAGGACGTTAAAAAATCTAGACATCAAAAATCTGTGCCAAAAAATATACCTGTGTCCATCAATACAATCATAAAATCACAGATGGTTGAATTTGTAAGCATCAAAATGTGACAGTTTGGCTGTCACAGAAAAAAAACAGAATGAGCAGACTTTAGTGGATGTTAATGGCTGACCACTGCTTCTGTGTATTTTGGCCAGAAGTCAATGAAAGTTTATTTGTAGTTATTTGCTTGTCTTTTCTGTCACTGCTCATAATGTATGACACTCAAACATGATCAAACAATCAATCAACCAAAACATTTTAAAACTACCCTGCATGAGATTGTGAAAAAAATAGTTTTTTTTTTCTTACCAAAGGTTCAATTTTGATGTTTAAGGCGACAATTAACTTTTTTTAATCTGCTGCTCATTTCCTTGATTAATACATTAGTCATTTTGAAAATAAAAATGTGCACATAAAATACTGCCCACAATTTAAGGTAAAATCTTCACTTTTCATCACAAAATTCTAATCAGTTCATTGTTGAGTCTGAGTGAGCATTTATGCCAAATTTAAAAATAATTTCCCTTATGGTTCCCTCACAGATGCAAGCTGACAATGACCTTGACCTCTGACCACCAAAATCTAATCAGTTCATTTTTGAGTCCAAGTGGACGTTTGTGCCAAATTTCAGGAAACTCCCTTGAGGGCCTCTTGAGACATTGCATTCACAAGAATGAGTAGGGCACAAGGTCACAGTGACATTTGATCGCCAAATTCTTATCAGTTCATTGTCCAGTCCAAGTGAAAGTTTGTGCCAAATTTGAAGAAATTTACCCAAGGCCCTCTTGAGATATTGCATGCATGAGAAAGAGCAGGACACAAGGTCACAGTATCCTTTAACTTTTCATCATGAAATTCTTATCAGTTCATTGCTGAGTCCAAATGGACGTTTGTGCCAAAATTAAAGATAATTTCCCTCATGGTGTTCTTGAGATATTGTATTTACTAGAATGCAGCAGATGCAAGCTTACAGTGACCTTGACCTTTGACCACCAAAATCTAATCAGTTCTCTGTTATGTGGAAGTTTGTGCCAATTTTTTTGTAACCCACCCATTTACATTTTATCAAGGTTACAACAGAGTGTGTTTAACTGGATCAACATAACAGGATCGGATAGAGACAGAGAAAAAGGCTGACAAAGGAGAAACAGACTATTTATATGTTGAGATGACGTCACAATGGTCACCAAGGCTGCATCTCTTTCTCCACCTGGCCTCTCTCTTTCATAATTCTGTGTTTTTCTCTGTGGGTGTTTTTTTTTTTTTTAACTCTTCCTCCGCAGTCTGTTTATCTCTTACTTCTGTCTGCTTGTTCTCTCCTGTCTTTATCTCCACCTTCCTCCTCTCATAAAGTGTGTTTTGGCTGCCTCGCTCCATCCTCCACAATCACATCACTGTGGAAACCGCACACCAAACACTCGACCCCCGGCGTAAATCTTCAATTCAGATTAGACACTAAACAGACAGCCTCGATGCTGCAGTGACGTGACGCTTCCTCGTCGGCAGTGATGCATAAAAACTCAGCCCTTCCCCTGAATTTCACCCTCCCAGTTCCCCCTCCTCACCCGGTGGTGTAGGGGATGTTGATTCCTCCCAGGTTGATGCTCTCGCAGCCCACGATGAACAGTGTGGAGAAGCAGAGCAGGGAGACTCCGCTGCAGATCATAGCCAGCTTGGCCGACTCACGAGCTCCCAGCTTCAGCTTCTTAATGATGTAGCCACCCAGCACGATGCCCACACCGGCACTGGGCACAATAATCACACCTGAGGAGGAAGAGAAACGCACGTATTACAAATTGATATAAACACTGCTTGCTGAACTAATATACAGTTAAATCTGAAAGTGATGGAGTAACAGCGGGAGGCAGGACAGAGAAAGAGAATGTACCTTAAGATTTATGTCCCTTGTGTCACTTAAAAACTCATCAAATCACTATTTTCTGTAATAACAATGAATCTAATTACTTTGCTGTCATTCACACTGGTGAACCCACAGAATATCTGCCCCAAGTCTGCAGCTCTAATGAGCTTTTTAAGCCTTTTCACCTCCCACTTGTGGTCTCAGGACACTCTTCAGCAGACAGCTGTTTTCAGGAAACAAGCCCTAATAAACCAACTGCACACCACCTGCCCAGCACCAAACAGCAGACTGACAAAATCAAGTGATGACCTAGTGAAAAAAGTGTTTAGTATTCAAAAGCTAAAGAGCTAGCTTTTTCTTCTCAGGAGCTGGTGGAGACCAAACTAGAGCTAAAAGGAGAGTGAATATCAGAGTAACACTCATCAGGTGGACACAAACATGACTCCAAGAGAGCAAACCTCCCTGCCCTTCCATGCACCTACATGGAAGTAGCTTGCAGAGGAAGCAGCAACAGTAGGCAGGCCAGAGCAGTTTAAATAGGGCCCCTGAATGAGATTTGCCAATTGGTTGCATAGAAAGGAATCAGAAGAACCGCTGACTAATGTTTTGGAGGTGTAACTGTTGTGCAACTCCATATTTTCAAACAGGGAAAAAAATCCCTGTCTTTGCATTTTATTTTGATCACAGTCTGTTTTTATAAAACTGCTTGTGACATCTTAAGTGTGGCTTTGACGTGCAACTGAAAACGTAGCCTGTTCGGTAGAAAATACCGCAATATGAATTTTTGTCCATATCGCCCAGCCTTGATGCAAAGATTTGTAAATGAGCAGGAATGTAGCACAACATGGAAGTGAGAGCAGTGCTCAGTTTGTTAAAATGTAAAAGTGCAATAAAAAATATTTTGTCCCAAAAATCAATGTGTAATCGTTATAAATAATTGTGATCTCAGTATTGATCAAAATAGTCATGATTGTCATTTTGGGCTGTCAGTGCCTTGCTCTACCCACTCAAGTTAAATCACAGCCATACTCCACAGTCACTCAACAGCAACAGACTTTTATTTAATTTCAAACTGGGGTCCTGTGACCTTCACAAGTCTATGAGCAGGTTTCTAAGGAATATTTTGATTTCACCCACAAGAGGCTGGCACAATATGAAAACATGCATGAGTGGCAGTTTTGATCAGAGGCTTCACAGCCCACTCCTCCTACAGCTGAGACAGTTATGCAACTAAACATTTCTGATAACAAAAGTATCCCAAGATGGAATTTCTTTGGACAAAATCTTACCAGTGCGAGTATGACTATCAGGTTTTTAAAAAAGCTAAACAAATAAATATTTTGCTAGATGAAATTTGTTTGTTCGGTGCTTAAAAACTTAAGCCATCAATAACAGCTTTCTGTGTGGAAAGTTCAGATGACTCAGAGCCAGCAAGTGTGACTAATGACGTAGAGCACTTTGTAATCAATCTTGTTTTTTTTTTTCAAAAGGCGAGCGTCTTATTTGTAATTACACTCTTGAAAATTGCAGTAAAGAATAATGTGAGCAGGCAGTCAAAATTTAAAGGTATCTTAAGTCCATCCTAATACCAGGATGTCAGAGTCCTCATAATCAAATAGTCTTTAAGTGCTAAGAAACATTGGCCAGCTGAAAACAGAGAAGTGTGTGTCATGTTAGTGAAATAATACACACACACACACACACACACACACACAAACACACACACACACACATAGGGCACTAATCTACTTTTACCACCCAATTACACAAATCTGTACTACNTATATATATGTATATATATATTGTTTTAGCCTATCAAGTCTAAAGAGACAAGCAAAGGTGCCACTTAAACTTCCAAATAATTTTGCTATCAACAGCTACAGCAAGCATGTCCTGGGGGCCAATTGTGGCCCAGGGACTGAATTTAAACGGCTCATGGCTTGTCTTTGAAAATGTACTATATGTGGCCCACCACTCTTTGTTTGTTAATCAAGCAAGAACACTTTGAATTTTTTAATAACCCCTATGATGCAAAAAGCAGCCGGCCCCCAGGCATTTTCAAGTTATCTTATCTGGCCCCCATTCAAAAACATCTGGACACCCCTGAGCTACAGGATACCAAAATAGCCACCATCACTAAAAAAGGCCATCAGCTTTGAGCAGAACTTTCCTCTCAGCCTCTTCACTTATCAGAACAAGGCAGAGGGAAAGCTCTGATTGGCTCTTTGATTGGGGGTTGCTGCTGAACTTAAATGCTCATGATAACAGGCTCTGACTCAGAGGTAATGTCTCACAAAGCGCCGTGAGACAGAAGCAGCTCAGAGAGAGCATAATAGCTCCAACCAATCTAAGGTTTGAGATTTACATTCTTAACATTCAGTGTTTCTGAAACTTCTGTTTCTACACAGGTTAGATGCAGCATTTGTCCCAACAAATTCACACCAACACTTTAGCCGAGGGATGCTAACAGTTAGCCCTGTCACTGTGTGTGTGCGGGCTGCATCTCACTAACTGTCCCTGGTGCGGAGTGGATTTCTTATGATAAACAGAGAGACACCAGCTCTACAATCAAACAGGTTTTCACCCATTTTAAATAGTAAAAAGCAAAATGTGGCAGTCAATGTGTACATTGTGGACACTGAATTTTTATCTATTTATAATTTCTATATTTTATTTCATTTTTATTACATTTTATTTCCATTTGCAGTATTATATAAGGTGCTATGGCGCTGCTCTGGGACCCCTCTGCCTTTCTTTGGGCCTACATGGAAAACCTACGGCGGAGCACACCTCTCTGCCCTTCCATACGCGTACATGGAGTGTCCATGACAAACAGACAGACAGTCTGATGCAAAAGAACACACAGGCAAGAATTAAAAAAAAAAAAAAAAAGTTAGCAAGTGTAACACTATGAATGTCTTCAAGGAGAGACAGTCTGAAAAGGTGCTTTGTTAACCTCATAATGAAACAATATCATGTCCATAACATTAAACTTCAGCTAATGGGAAAACACGACGTCAGAATCAGAATCAGGTTTATCGTTTTATAATTTTTCACATACAAGGAATTTCCCTCAGCGTGCTGGTGCATAAGATTAAACATAATATGTTGCATCTTGTTTGTTTATATGTAAATGTTAGCATGTTACCTTGCTAGCTTGTTAGTGCACCGTGGTTGAACATGTATTATATTAGCCTGTATGCCTGTTTAAGCATGCATGTGCTTGTGAGTGTGTGCGGAGTGCATTTTTGCTTGTATCTGTGTGTTTCTAATTTTGTGTGTGTGTATGTGTGTGTGTGTGTGTGTGTGTAATGCACTGAGTGCTCCAGCTCTGTGTCCCAGGTGCCCCCTTCATTTGAAGACCAGCAGTCTCTTTATTATTAATGTGTGTTGGCTTGCAGCTCTGGGTCGACAGCCTCTCCTGCTCTGCTCTAAGATAAAACCAGCAGCGCTGAACAGGCAGAAATTTAAAGTCCTGGGTGTTGTTTGAATATTCTGGTCTGTCTGCATCCTGTCTGTGCTGCTGTGGAGACATTACAAGGCAGTTCAGAGAAGAAGGCAGGGAACGGTTTGGCCTTTAAGATGCGCACATACATCCCAAATTAATTACTTTCATGAGAAATAAATCCTGCTTCTGAAACTTTAGATTTTAGTGTGTGAATGACGATTAGTAGCAAAGATTTCAGAGATTCGATCGGGTGATGAGGTTACTTTGCTGCTTTGGTGCAATATGGGATGTAATCCAGCTCACCAGTATAGATGCTGGCGCTGGAGGCCGGGATGCCAAACTGCGACTCAATGAATTTGGGGATGAAGGTGATGAAAGCGGTGACGATGGCGCTTTCTGCTGTGTAGGAGAGGCTGACGAACAAGAAGGTCACGTTGCTGAGAATTCTCACTGCTGCTTTGGGCAGGTCTGAAAGAGGAGAAGAAAATGAGTGGACAAAGAGAAAGGGTTTACATTTTGGTTTCTGTAATGAGGTTATCAGTGCAATTTCACACTAATAACTGGGGATGCGCAATATTGGATTTTTTGCTGATATCCGATATGTAGATAATTACTCATTTGACTGATAACCAATACCAATATCGATATATCCACTTTTTTCTCCACCTAATTTAAGTCATCATCAACTCTCCTCTGTAGTGGAATAAACATAATATTATGCATGCATTTTCTAAGATGGTTATCATACCTCCAAAATCTCATACTGTTGCAACCCAACCGTACTTTTACTAAATGCATTCTGTGCTACATTGAAGTTAAGAGACAGATGGACTCATACTCTAGACTGTTTTTTAGACCGTTTTCTCCACAACTCTGGAGACCCTCCATTTAGAGTTGACATCATCAGTGACATCAGCAGCCTTCGCTGACTCGTCACACTATTTCCTGGTACCTTTGATGTCCTTGCCGAAGCCCATGGACGAGGTGACCGCCTGGCTCTTGTTGTTGTTGCTCTTCTCCTTGAGGACGTCGTCATCGCTGGACAGGTCGTCCAGGCTCAGCTTTTTCCTTCTCTTCTTCTTCTTGTGTCGGGGCGGCAGCTTCTTGGGGAAGGTGAACATGGGGAAGATTACCAGCAGCATGGCCACGGCACACAGCAGGAACCCGCTCCACCTGGACAGACGAGGGAGGATTGAAATCAAATTTTCAAAAATGCCGGAAAAACAATCAAGAGGTGAATTCAGGCGAGCCAGTCATGGACCAGACACTTGACTCTTCTCTCCGGGCTATCAAAGATTATCACTCTGGACTTGGTATAATTTTATTTCTGTGCCTCATTACTGTGCACATAAATAAATAAAATTAACCGTCGTCAGGCTTGTGCAAAATCACTGGTACACTCATCCAACCTCTTTCTGCTATCATCACCTATAATTCATGTAGGAAGCCTGTGGCTGTTAGCTAGTGACTCACTAGTTATGCTGTCAGTAAGAAGATGGCATCACTGAGAGCTGTGAATAGATGAATAACCACATCTCATACACAGCAGCACATTTACAGATGGATATAAAGTATGTACAGAAAAACGTGACCCAAAGAGCAAACATGTATCTTATGTACTTAGAGCGATGCTGCATTTTGGTAGAGTCTTGGTTTGATGAGCTTTCAGCACAAAGTATAATTTATAATGTGGTTGACTGTCTTTATCGGTCGCAGTTTTTCTCCTCTTGATTCACATTAATATCGCTTCAATAACTATTGGCACAGAAACAGGCAGGAGTGAGGTGTATTCTGCCCTTATTGAGTCCAGTTACTCATTTTTGGGGAAGGGTATGTCTCTGTTCGTGTTATAAAGTATATATATAATACAGGTGGAGTACACAATGGGGACAATAGTACATTTAAAAATCCAAAATTCAATCGAAAGTTAGCTTCAAACTGGGCTTGGTGTCCAGCCTCAGTATCTAAAAGTGGCATCAAATATCTTGTCAGATTTTCAGGCTTTACTCATGTTTTATATTTCCTGATCCAAATCCGAGGACTTTTTTAAAATTAAGACTTTCAGACCAAACAGTTTCGGGGATTCCCTGAGAGGAGCTGCCAGCTGAGGAGCTCCTCCGAGAACTACCTACATACCTTCAGGGGCTTTTTTTCTGTTCGCATCTGCACCGCCAAAAAGAACGTTGAGGTAACGTAATGTAAACCATCCAGCAGCTCGTAAAGCACCATCACTTTCACTCTGACAAGTTAAAATCGGATTTTAGCCACTGCTGCATATATGCTCCATGAAGCCGACGTCACTGTTGGTCCATTTGTCCACATTTGTCATAGAGTTTTTCCTTAATGCTGTGTTTCTGGGTTCTGTTGACAAATTTTAAAAAATGGTGGTTGCTGGTGCTGCGTTGGCTCTTGTGTTCAACCAATCACTGAGCAATTACGTGACTCTAGGTTCCTCCTGTACTCTGTAACAGGAGTTAAAAAAGTCCCTGAAGATGGCGCTCTAAGGGGCCGTACACATGCCGCATCTTTAAACTGCTGGAAAACACGAGGCTGGAAGCTGGGTGCTACTCTTGTGCCTTTTCCGTGCCAGCTTTCAATAGTGCGGCAGCAGGTTGCGTCTGAGGTTGCTAAGTAACCTTAACAAGCACCAAATCATAGCAAATTTACCTGAAATCCTGAGTGCAGAGCTGATCTTCTTCCAGGTGTTGTTTGTGTGCAGACATACTGTCCGTGGGACAGATGTAAAGCTCTTGCAGCCCTGCACTAATATGATCAACTTCTCATCCATAATATCACAGACTGATATGACGATATGTATCAATGTTTTCACTATGTATCAAGGATGTTGGATCGTTGATCACTGAATCGATATATCAAAATCAGATTGATGTAGTTTTCTGCCACTAGTGAGCAATTTGGAATAAATTGTAGTGTTTTGTTTTTGTCAACAAATCCCGTGAAGAGACCATAACCAACACTCGGTACGTTTACATGACATCAGAGAAAATCGATTTATTGTGTTAGTCCGACTAAAACCGGACTTTTAAAATACATGTAATCATGTTAGTATGACTGAAATCATACTAAATCAAATTTCTCAAAGTCGGAATAACACACCCAGATAATGTGACTGGGAGTCGAATTCCTCCTCCATGTATACAGTTAATCAGACCCAAACTGGCCGAGGCACTCTGAGCATGCTCCACAATTTCAGCTGGGTTTTGACCCGGAAGTCAAAAAGCATTAAATGCGCAACAAAAGAAGAAGTCGGTAACAACATGGTGAAATCTAATTCCAGAGCTGTGCATTGTTGGATGAACAAAATGTACAGAGCTGTAAAGTTGTCCACCACGGTACCAGTCTGACACTAGCTAACTGTAGCTACATTGTTTGGTCTGTGACGCAATAGGTCAACAGGAAAAAGGTCCGATACAAACAAGCTGAAAGGGGGCATATCTTCACCTATCGTAGCAGAGTCGGACATACTTTGGTCAATAAATCAATTCCCCTCCCGTGCTTGTATACTGGGACAAGGACAGGAGTCCAATTAAATGGCCTAGCTGAGCTGTAACTGTAGCTCCACTTAACTGTGCATATAAACATACTATTGTCTGACCTCTGTACACTGTCTCTGGCAGTCACTGTCACAGCTCCAAGCCAATTGGTTCAATGAGAAAATCTTATAAACATAAATTTAAAAAAAAACAAAACAAAAAAAAACTGCAGTGTGTGTGTGTGCTAATGCAAATGAAGGATCATGTCCTGTATTGCAACAGTGTGAGTCACTGATGTGTTTGAAGGTTTCTGGACAACAATAGAGCAGATTTTAGTTTTTCTTTATGGGATTTGTTGCCAAGATGAAAACTAAAGAGTATCAGTGAAGTTATCCTTTATATTCTCTAAACTACAAACTGGAAAACGTAAGGTTTTGGCACACAGATATTATACTGGCACTAATCCAGCCCTATCTTTGATACACACACACACACACACACACATTACACTTCATCAAGCCAAAAGCAGCCAAACAGTTCTCGATGATCTGATCTGTGTTAACTATAAATTAACTTGTATGGAAAGTATTAAAGCTGTAATATATAACAACCAGTACTCAATTTGTAAAATAAAATCAGGGGGGATGGTGGATTTTATCACATGGGGACATAATTTGTGCTGATGACAGCGCAGAGGGTCTGCCATAGCACCACTGTTCCTACATTGTTAGGGTCAAATGCACAGGACAAGTGCAAAATCAGTTCTTTTTCTTCTACTTGGATCAACCGATGATACCAATAATAATCAAAGTCAATTTTGCTTTTAGAATATTGAATTATAGAGTATTTTTCAAAAAAGCAGTTAGTGGTATATGATCGAAACTGGTATCTAAGAGTTAATTTTTAATTGTGATTAATTAAATCATATAAATTAAACAAGAACCCCTTCATGAAAAAAAATGAAAAAGAAATTGGGAAAAATGTTGAACTTTATTGATACAAATACAAATATTGTAGGTTAGGTCTTTTTGGGGTATTTTTCCTGCCTTTACTTTTAAGCTCATATCACAGTCATTATAAAGGCTACATACACATGTTAACCAGATTTGCCATCATTTTATGTCCTTCTATGTGCCTATATTTTATATTAATTTTTATATCAATGAAAAAAACAAATCCGTGTGACTAAATTATTACATTTTTACATGTATCTCACCATAGCAAGTTGGAAAAAGACATATTCTGCCATGTATGAAGAGGGGAGACTCTCTGGAATCTGGCAATATAAGAACCATGATGCTGGGACATTCTGTCACTTCACAGCTGTCCAAAACATGTGGTTTGTGCCAGGTGGACATGATTGCCAGTATTTTTTCATTATTGCAAGAAATTCCATTGACTCATTCACAAGTCAAAAATATGTTTTATCCGAAAGAAACATGCAATATTTACATCTAAGATCATAGAAAAATAGTAATAATATTATTCCTCACTATATGAAGTGACTGATAACAAGATCTGTATAATGGATTGTAAAGAAATTCATCAGGTTTTTATTTTGTAGACAATTAATCTGTATTTATAGCATGATGGGATGACAGCACAATGATGTGTGTGGTATCATTGGAAAGCTTTGGTCCTGCGCTTTCATGTGATATGCATGGCATTTCAGTGCAACCCTGCATTTGTGAGTAATCCATCCAAGAGTAATGTGTGTGAAGAGCTGTATGAAAGCTCTGTTATACATAATTTTAGTTTAACTTTTTTTTCGCTGTTAAAACATTGGACTACCGACAACTGTTTGGTCTTGTCAGAAAGTTGCGGTTCCAAGAGAGAGCAGATTTAAAATTTTGCAGTAGCATCGTGATTGGCTGATGGAGATCGTGGCAAAGCTTCATTGGATAACTAGAAGAGTGAATACCCATAGTCAGCTGATAAGAGGAAGCAGTGGGGGTGAGATGGAGAGAATTGTGAATGGATGAGCACAAAGAAAGTCTTCCTGATTAAACACACAAAATCCCAAATCTGAAAACTGTAATTACAAAACCATACACTGTCGCTGCCGGTTATGGCGTCAAGGTGAACGGACGTTTTAACAGGCGCTCCCTGCATGGTCTGCTAAATCCCCCAAATTAGAGCTGTTTCAACCTCTTTGAGTCTTAAACTATATGATGAGAAGGGGGAGGCCGCGAAAAAATACCGGCAAACTGACCCAGACACAAGAAAATAGTGAGAAACACTTAACAGGAACAGTCAACGAAGACGCGCACGACGAACACATGGCTGTGGATAGCCTGCAAGCTAGCATCGGGGCCATCCACAAAGAGATATTGGCCATTCGCTCAGACGTTAAGGATGAACTAAGCTGCGTCTGTGACAACCTTTCTGGCGACATGAAGAGGGATTTGGCTAGCTTTAGAGAAGACGTTAATGGAAAGCTGAACGAAATTATGGCCGACATGAAAGAAACCAGAGACCGAGCCGAGGAGGCAATACAGCATGTTGCAGATATGGAGGAGTGGACGGTGGCGGCGAAAGAGGTGCTGTCTCAAACTTTAAACAATCAAGACAGAATTCAAGCCAAGCTGACTGACTAGGAAGCTCGCTCAAGGAGAAACAACGTCCGTGTATACGGGATTCCTGAGGACACAGAGGGAAGCAGCCTGCAGGAATTTATTG